ATATGCCATTTGTCATACAAACTGACGAATCAAAATCAAGTTCTTGTATGGAATTTTTTGTAATTGTGAAGGGTGCAACCGTAGTGATATGAAAGAAAATCGAACTATGATTAAAAGCTATTTGTGCATTAATAAATGTGAAATAAATGCATAGAAACAAAGTAGGTAATTGTTAGTAGATGTAAAAGGGAACAATATAGGCATAACATTCATTGTTATTCTAAAAGTACACACTTTATATCGTTGAATTTTTAAATTTAAATGCAAAGATCTTAAAACCATAAGGGCCAAAAATATGTAACTATTGTATATATTATATAATGTATTCTTAATTTTCATAACCGCGCTACGAAACTCTCTTGAACGTGTGAGTCTATTAATTAATATTTAAAATATACTTATATACAAAAAATTTGCCTACTATTTGCTGTAGTACTTTTCTTCAGAAACGCACATTAAATCCATATTTTGGATGTATTTCTATGTGTACTAGTGAAATAGCATGCAATAGTTTTACAAATTTTGGGCTTTAAATACAAAATTTCCAAAATTATAAGTATAAGGCGGGTATAAGTCCGATATTTTTGAGCCCGCGATCCCATTGTATGGACGGATAGAGAAGGTTGTCCAAATTAAAAATTTTAATTTCTGATTATTTTTCGCGTCACAAAATGTGGCAACACTTGTATTTGTGATAAATGTAATCAAACAAATCTCTTGTACCTGTGAAGGCCCATTAATATTCAACTTTCTTCGCTTTGCGTGACACCTATACTGAAACAACGAAGCGAAGAAAACAGAGGTTATGCCATAGTAACTGCTTTGCATTCAGTGTTTCCTCTAATAAAATGACGGCTGTTGCTTGGCAAAGCGTAAAAGATCAGAGTTACCCAACATTGCGAATTTTCATAATAAAGTTGAACGATTTTTAACCGTTGTTCAGGCGTAAGTCTTTCCATGATGAAATGCAAAAATGAAAAGTATTGAACAAAATAACGACAGTTTGACACGACTCATGCGTGATCTGTCAAAAAGGCTATTGGAAAAGGACTTCTACTTGGATCACCCTTAATAATATAAGAAATGCCGTTAAGCGAAAACATATTACGGGCTATAACAAAGCTGCAAATTGATATACGCATGGATTTCCGAATGAATATGTTTCAAAGCCTCAGAATTTTGGAATAGCGTAAGTTTTACGGACGAGAGCAAGTTTTGCATCTTCGGATAAAAGGAAGAAACTTATACTAATACCCCAAACATACTGCGCAAAATGTTAAGCTCTGGCTTTTGTATGATTTATAAAAGCAGTTGCGAACGCCTTTACGGATCTAAATCTCATTGAGCATTTATGGGACTTGCTCGAGCGTGGAATCCGAAAACACATCATAACATCAAGAAGTATTCAAGGATATTATAATGGAGGAATGGGTGAATATTTCGGCAGAGGATGCAGCAAAACTTGTGGAAGTACCGAAGAGAAACGGATATCCTAATCCACATATATAAGGTTGGCCGTTATTTCCCTTCCGCTTTTTTGCTCTTCATTCAATGCTTTATAAAAAGTGTTACAGTGATCGGATTTAGTTAAAATATGCGCCGTTTTGTTCGTTAACTTGTTGCCAACGAGATACATCTTCATTATACCCTCTCGTAGAAGGCTGCGTCCCTATTGGCAAAAACTCGGAGAGCCAATTTTCACAGGCCTCTCTTGCGGTCAACTTCTCACCATTAAGCGCGTTCGCCATGGACAGGAAAAGATGGTAATCACTTGGTGCCAGGTCCCGGCTATATGGTAGATGCGATAAAACCTCCCATCCGAGCTCCCGTAGCTTCTGACGAGTCATCAACGAAGTGTGTGGTCTGGCGTTGTCCTGGTGGAACACTACACCCTTCCTGTTGGCCAATTCTGAACGCTTAATCACCATCTACTAGCGTCAACCAGTTGCGCTAGTAAGAGGATCAGACAGAAGCGTTTCAGAATTTGGCACAGGAAAGGTGCTAGTGTTCCACCAGACACGCCAGACCACACACTTCGTGATGACTCGTTCAGAAGCTACGGAGCTCGGATGGGAGGTTTTATCGCATTCTTACCATATAGCCGGGACCTGGCACCAATGATTACCATCTTTTTCCTGTCCATGGCGAACGCGCTTAATGGTGAGAAGTTGAACGCAAGAGAGGCCTGTGAAAATTGGCTTCTCCGAGTTTTTTGCCAATGGGACGCAGCCTTCTACGAGAGGGGTATAATTTGAAGATGTATCTCGTTTGGCAAACAAGGTTAACGAACAAAACGGCGCATTATTTTAACTAAATCCGCATCACTGTAACACTTTTTATTAAGCCTTGAATGAAGAGCAAAAAAAGCCGGAAGGAAATAAAACGGCCAACCTTATATATGTGGATTAGGATTATCCGTTTCTCTTCGACTTCCACAAGTTTTGCTGCATCTCTGCCGAAATATTCACCCATTCCTCCATTATATATCCTTGAGCATTACTTCTTGATGTTATGCATGTGTTTTCGGATTCCACGCTCGAGCAAGTCCCATAAATGCTCAAGAGATAGATCCGTAAAAAGCGTTCGCAACTGGTTTTATAAATATACAAAAGCCAGAGCTTAACATTTTGGCAGTATGTTGGGTATCGTATAAGTTTTTCCCTTTTATCCCGAAAGATGCAAAACTTTGCTTCGTCCCGTAAACTTACGCTATTCCAAATTCTGGAAGCTTTGAAACATATTCATTCGGGAAATCCTATGCGTATATCAATTTCAGCTTTGTTATAGCCCGTAATATGTTTTCGTTAACGGCATTTCTTTATATTATAAGGGTGATCCAAGTAGAAGTCCTTTTTCCCAATAGCCTTTTGACAGATCACTCATGAGTTTCGTGTCAAACTGTCGTTATTTTTGTTCCAATACTTTTCATTTTTGCATTTTCAGTCATGGAAGACTTACGCCTGAACAAACGGTTTTAAAAATCGTTCAACTTTATTATGAAAAATCGCAATGTGGGTTGGGTGGGTAACTCTATCTTTTACGCTTTGGCCAAGCAAACAGGCCGTCATTTATTAGAGGGAACACTGAATGCAAAGCAGTTACTTGTATAACCTCTGTTTTCTTCGCTTCGTTGTTTCAGTATAGGTGTCACGCAAAGCGAAGAAAGTTGAATATTAATGGGCCTTCACAGGTACAAGAGATTTGTTTGATTACATTTATCACAAATACAAGTGTTGCCACATTTTGTGACGCGAAAAAATAATCAGAAATTAAAAATTTTTTAATTTGGACAACCTTCTCTATCCGTCCATACAATGGGATCGCGGGCTCAAAAAAATCGGACTTATACCCGCCTTATACTTATAATTTTGGAAATTTTGTATTTAAAGCCCAAAATTTGTAAAACTATTGCATGCTATTTCACTAGTACACATAGAAATACATCCAAAATATGGATTTAATGTGCGTTTCTGAAGAAAAGTACTACAGCAAATAGTAGGCAAATTTTTTGTATATAAGTATATTTTAAATATTAATTAATAGACTCACACGTTCAAGAGAGTTTCGTAGGCGCGGTTATGAAAATTAAGAATACATTATATAATATATACAATAGTTACATATTTTTGGCCCTTATGGTTTTTAAGATCTTTGCATTTAAATTTAAAAAATTCAACGATATAAAGTGTGTACTTTTTAGAATAACAATGAATGTTATGCCTATATTGTTCCCTTTTACATCTACTAACAATTACCTACTTTGTTTCTATGCATTTATTTCACATTTATTAATGCACAAATAGCTTTTAATCATAGTTCGATTTTCTTTCATATCACTACGGTTGCACCCTTCACAATTACAAAAAATTCCATACAAGAACTTGATTTTGATTCGTCAGTTTGTATGACAAATGGCATATATGGTGGCCCGATCTGAACAATTTCTGCGGAGACTATAGAGTTCCCTTGGTCAATAATATATCGTGAAGATATCAAAGGGAAATTGCAAGCATTATAAAACTAACCCAAAAGTTTCGGTATACTGTTTTGAAACCTCTAAGAGAATGTGAATTGAGAGGACGGACACGAAAAACGACGTCACAAGTAGAAAATTACATTGAGATTTATTCAAAAAGCGATCCTTTGACGTCCTCTGTAGCTATCCAAAGAGAATTGGGTGTAGAAATTTTTTCGAGAACTGTTGCGCGTCGCCTTGTCGAAAATAATCTCTTTGGAATCTCTCGGAAGGTTTCAATGTTGACAAACAAAACAACGGAACAATCGGATTAATTTTCCTTCGGCGCATAACAATTGAACCGGTCCAGAAAATGCGAAAGAGTAGTGAAATGGAAAAGTGGTGCGAAAGAGTGGATCTTTTGGTCTGATGAATCTAAAATAAATATGGTACGTAGGGATGGAAAATTTTGGGTTCGATGTCCGAAGAATGCGAAATGAATCCCCGATACACGACATAAATTTTCAAACACGGAGGTGGTAATATCATGATATGGGGATGATTTTCGTGGTACGGATTTTGATCGCTGTTTTGGATTCGGGAAAACATGGACCACTACCTTAGAATTTTAGAAGATGTAATGCTTCCTTATGTGGAATGGAACATGCCTTTAATTTGGCAGTTCCAGCCTGACAATGACCAGAAGCATACCTCGAGTGTGGTTAAGACTTCTCTACAGTATCAAGGAATCGATGTTATGACTTGACCGGCGCAATCTCCAGATTTAAATCCTATAGAAAACCTGTGGAAGATTTAAAAGGAAAATGTGGGACTCATTAAACCACGAAATACTGAGAAACTATGGAGAATAGTCTAAGAGGCGTGGTACTAAATACCGAATTCAGTCTGTAAAGCTCAAGGAGAGTCTATGATGAAAATGTGCAATGCCGTACTCGCAAATAAAGGTTGTGCAACAATATGTTAACTAATATGCATTTTTAGTTATATACTATTATATTATATTATATAGTAGTCTAATATTTACATGATTTGGTTCCAGGAATTATTTTATTGTCAATTAAAGTTGCTGACAGTTCCTTTAAAAGTTGTCTGCTGATAATACATAAATTGGTATTAAGTTATTTTTGTTTTTGCAATGATTAAAATAAATTTAACTTTTTATTTAAATTTAAAGTATAAACTATAAAAAATAATTGTTTCCTCCTAAGACCTGTGGTAACATTTTTTTGCACATAGTTGTAAATAACATTTTTTATT